CATTCATCACAACGATAAATTGAACTCGCTCACCGACTTGTGGCACACGCAATCAGCAATACGGGTAGTGATTTGTGAGCGGCGATAACTGATACGCCTTGTGAACAATAGCTTGCTTGGTACAGCGGAAGAGCTTCTGAGAGGTGCATGGCATTGAGTGCTACTGGTTGAAGTGGCGTGGCGACGGCTTGGAAAAGGGCGGGCATCGGTTCTACTCGGTAGTGCGACGCGTACAGCCGTGTCTATTTTCTGTCGTCCTTCTCGTTCGGTTCTTTGCTCCGTGTCGTGATTACTCTGGAGACGCTCGTTGTGTCGACGAAGACGTGATAATCGCGCCTCTCGTTGTGTCGAAAACTGATCCCTGCTTGGCGACAATAATCTCCTTCCTTACGCCGCGTTGCCGACAGTTTGGTCTTCCACACACAGACACAGAGAGAGAGAGAGAGAGAGAGAGAGAGAGAGAGAGAGAGAGATGGCTTCAGAAAAGGCACGTGGTGGAGCAGAACAGATGAAGGAGGCGGGCCGGGAAGGATACGAGGAAGGAAAGGGTTCTGCGCAGGAGAAGTACGAGCACGCGAAGGGGACTGTCGGCACCAAGACGGAGGAAGCCAAACAGGCTATGGAGGAACAGAAGCAGCGAGCAGCGGAATCGATGCAGGAGCAGCAGGAGAAAGCCGCGGGCGCCATGCAAAGCCTGAAGGAGAAGGCAGGAGCAGCTATGGAGGGTCTGAAGGAGAAGGTCGGGATGGGGGGAGGAGGGGCAGGAGCAGGGCAGGGAGGGCAGTGAGGAAGGAAGCAGAAGCGTTGACTCCTGCGAGCCACGGGTCAACGAGATGGGTAAAGAAGATCTTCACCGCCGGCATCGAGTCTCAGGCGTGCAATGAATTTGGGTCGTAATGGGGGTCACATGCAGATAAGCGTAGCTTTTATAACCGTGGGGTAGGGGGCTCAGTTATCCTGTTTGAATCTGACCTCCAAACGAGGCGCAATACGGATGCAATACATGTATCTGGATTGCGTTCTGGAGCAGATGCATTCGCTCCCGCGGAATGGAGTCTTAGCGTTGTCATTCTAATCTGGTCAGAGTTGCGCAGTGGAGCACGGAGGGTTCTGAAATGGCATGGATAACCACTTCACAATTTACACGCATCACAACTGCGTTCTGGACCAGATGCATTCGCACCGGCGAAACCCTTATTACGTATCAGGGTCATCGGGAGGTCCATATACTTTTAGAGCGTCGTGTAGTGGAGCGAGGCTCGTGTATATTTGAAATTCCGAGGCTTTATAAAAGAATGAGAAATAAATAAATAATTGGCTTGTAAAGGTAACCTTTGCCGTCGATGTGTAGCCTTGGTCGCTGGGTGGTTTATAATTAAAATTCCGAGGCTGTATTAAAGAAAAGGGAAATAAATAGATAATTGGCTTTTCTCTGCCGTCGATACTGATCTGACGCGTCGACGGGCAATCAGTCCCAGTAATCAAATTGTTAAGGCATCAGAAAAATTTGGAGTTTTCACGAAGCGGATGATGTGCTACAAGTACATCAATGGCTAATAAGCGCACTTAACAAATTATAGCTGTTTCATTCTTTTGTTGCTGTTGGGGGGGCGTTAACACACAGTTTAATTAGTGTAATACTGTTTCAGAGGGAGGGAAAAAGACAAAAGTCTACTTGTCCGGATATCGTCGAAAGTGCAGCAGCGTAGTATATTTGGGATAGCGAGAGGAGGCTCTCCAAAGGATCAGTCTCTCTCTCGAGGGAGAGGATTCTCTTTATGGAGAGGAGGATAGAGGAGCCATATCTTGGGGTGGAGGCTTCGTCCGTGAGGTTGTGCGGTCCATTATGCCGACCTTTTCGTAAAGTGCTTGTAGGCTCTCTCAGGCTCAGCAGAGTTGGTGGGCAACTATTCATGTTCGAGTCCAAGTTGGACGACGGATGTTATATTCGAATTGCAGAGATGCGCAGCGTTTGATTGTGATTTCTGGTGGTCTGGTTTAAAATCGGACAAAAGAACAAGATGTAATAAGGGGTTTGTTGTGCTGTTGAATAGATGGGGGGTCTGATTGTTAAGGAACGTGAATGAAGTCGTGGACCATTTTGGAGTCGCCTGGCCTGGAGTTAAGGAACGTGTAGTGTGGATCCCTGGAGGTGGACGGATATTCGTGACGGACGCGGACCTTATTGGGATACCGATTTGGAGTTGCCCAGACAGTCGTGACATTGCACAGACATTTGCTGTTTTTTTTTTTTTTTTTTAGCACAGCGGTACACGTCGTTGCGGTTGGCCGGTGTGAAGGGAGTCTGAGAATGTAATTTGTATGAAAGACCCAAGCTCTGTATTTCCTTCCGTCGTCACCCGAATAGAACGCCCGGTCATTATAGCTGAATCTGGACTGAAAATTACACCAAATACGGCTATAATGACCGGGCGTTCTATTCGGGTGACGACGGTAGTTGTCTGATCTGCTTTGACTGTGTCCATTCGCCTGCCCACCCAAGCTTTGCCTCCGGACTGTGTTACGTGCACATAGCTGAGCTTCCATTTTTTGTGTTGTCTTTTTTTTTTGGCTTGAAGTTCTGAAAGGTCTGAGGTGTTACATGTGTAATATATTGCACTTTGTGATCTATGATTTCGTAAATTCGTATGCTAGCGCAGTTGTCACGTGCCAGATGTGACACGTGGGAAATGAC